TGTTAACCTTGAACAAGATATACCCTTTTATTGTGGTACCAGATTTTAGAGGTTTATTTGTTGTAATTGCTAGTAATGCAGCATAGATGATACAGTAGAGTTAGAGTTCTGGTGACTAATGATATGAGTGAATTAACAAGGGAATCCAAGTTTATAAATAAGGACACTGTGGATCAGAGAGAGTTGGGTACCTCACCCAAAGCACCAAGGAAGCAACTTCTGGAGCTTTCCTAGAACTCAGCTCCTCTGTATCCAAGCTCATGTTCTTCTGGTGTCCTGTCCTGTAAAAGGACAAACAGATAAATTCCAACTTGGTTCCAAGTGCTGAAAATGACATTGACCAAGATATGTCAGAGAAGACAAATCCTGTATGAATCGAACACTACAGGTTTTTGTGTTGTTACTGATTGGGCCCTAAATGCACTGCTTTCAGCTTTATATTAAGCTTTATTTAAAATCTGATTTACTAGAATTACCATGTGATTGGTATCTGCTGACATTTTAGTGCAAATTAACTCCTTGGAGTTTGATTTTAAATGTTAACATTTCTCTTCCTTTAAGCAGACAATTTATCTTTCTAATGAATGCATAATACTGCTTAGTATTATCCATGTATGGTATCAAAATTAAGGATCCATTTTTTCTTCTTGCGCTTAAACTTTTTTTTCTAATAAAAAATTGATATGTTTTTATTATAGAATAGCGATTTAAACATCACCCACTGAGCCAAGTTTTCACCTTTGGAGTGGGAGGTTAAAGGTAAGTCAGGGGAAGAGACTATAATAATCCCTGTTGCAATAGATTAGAGTTAGAGACATAAGTATAAACTCATATTTAGGTTAATATACAGAGTTATATAAAGAACTATTTATGGATACACATGTACACAGATTAGTATAACCTATTTCCTTGCTTTCAGTTGAGAGGACTTAGAAGCAATAATACCACCACAACAAGAAGCACATAAGGCACCCAGATCTTGTTTCTCATACTTTTTTTCTAATAAACACAAACCAGGGCTCCTTGGAGAAGTGGCTGATTCTAGGACTGGAGCAGGAAAGATACAGATGAGCCTGGAGTCTCTCATCATACAACAAAATAGGGAATAACTTCTTTTAAGTACCCAGCGGTAATGGTATATGTCAAAAGGACATAGGAGCCAATGGGAAGAGCTCCCAATAATAGCCAAGGTTGGACAAATTTGAGCCACAAAGAAGTATTGAAGTATAACCCAAAATATAAGAAAATGCTTAGAAATGTTCTTGAGTCAGTACTTATATAAATAAAAAATTGAAAGGATAAAACAGAATAGAATAAAAGAGTAGGATGGAATAGAATAGAAGAGAATGGAGTAGAATAGAATAGGACAGATCTCCCATGTCAAAGAATTTCAAATAACTTATGTAGACTCCATCCTCAAGGAGGGAGGAGGTGGAGCATGGCTCCCACTTAAGTGAGATCCAACATAGTGACTTCCTTCCAAAGAGGACCCTATGGAAGCAGGGTAAGTTGATAAGCACTACTTCAGGCAGGTTCATTCACTATGATAGGCATGTTGCTACACCCTTAATATGATATAATAAAAATGGCACTTTACCTCTGTGTTATTCCTCCCCAAAATTTCTAACCCCAATCTAATAAGACAAGCATCAAACAATTCCCAATTGAGGGGCATTCTTCAAAATACCTGACCACTACTCCTCAAAACTGTCAAGGTCACCCCAAACCAGAAAAGTCTGAGAAACTGTCACAGCCAAGAGGAGTCTAGGAAACTTGATGACTAAATGCAATGTGGTATCCTGAATGGAATCCTAGAACCACCCCCCCCCCCAAAACTATACAAACAAAAACCCAAAATATTAGTAAAAATTAAGGAAATCCTAATAAAGTATGGACTTTAGTTAATAATAATGTATGAATATTGGTGTATTAATTGTAATAAATATACCATCCTAATACAAGGTATTAATAATAGGGATGGAATGTGTTGTATAAAAGTGCTCTGTGTACTATTTTTGCAATTTTCTATAACGTAAAGCTTCTACATTTAAGGTTTTTTCTTTAAAAACAATAACCCATGATCCCATAATCTAGCAATAAAAATAAACATTATAGTACAGATTTTATTTTTTCCACTGTCTATTTTTATTTTTCAAAGTGGTTTCATACTTTTTCATTTAACATTTGGTGGATGTATCTTGATGCCCTTATAATTCTACAACGTGATTTTTATTTACTTTAGAATAGTTCATCTTAGGATGTATCACATTATTTAGTCAATTATCCATTGGTGTCTTTCCTCTTCTCTAATTCCATTGAACTCATTAGGGAAGGAGTTGTGGGAAATGGAGGCTGTAAGAAGAGAGGAGCAATTCTGACCTATTTGTTCATTGTGAAAAACAGACAGGTGGGCCTGGTCCAGTGCTGCCAGGGAAAACAAGAGATCTGAACACTGGTTTTAGCTTTGCAAAGAACTTGGATATGGTTAATTTCACTTAACCTCTACAGTTCTTAGTGTCCTTATCTAGAAAATGAACTACATAACTTATTCAACTGTCCATTCCTAAAATATATTTTGCCAAAAGACCATTTGTATATATTTTGTAAAAAGACCATTTTAAGAGAATTTTATGTATGGGATATGACCAAGCATACTTAATATGATAAAGAGGGTGTAGAAAATAGATGACAGATACATTTCCTCTTTGCTGTGTAATCAAAAACAATATCCATCATGTTGCACTAATGGAACACATTATGTGAAATGACATGAAGATCTAACAGTTATGCAAAGGGGACTCTTCCCACTGAAGGAGAGGGAGGACTAGCCTATAAATGCTGCAAGGAAATTGAGTTCAGCTAAACACAAAGAAGGGGGTGTCTAAAATAGACTGGGCTTTCTAGAAAAATGAGTGGGTTCTTGTATGTGAAGAATTTTGCAGCAAGAGCTCGATGGAGAATCATCAGGGATATTCAGAAGCAACACCTTCCCTTGGTAGGAATTCAAACTGATGGCCTCCATGTTCACTTTCAATTTTAAAAGGCTAGAATTTTTCTTTAATTTTAGGTACAACACCACCCTTTAGACTACTGCCCGCAAGTATTGCCCCTGATTCTGAGCTCTCTGCTGTCTCATTGGTCTCTAGATAACGGAATAATAGATTCCACTAGCAAAAATAAAAAGCATCGAATTATTAAAAGGATGGGTCCTTTGGTTTGTTTGTATGCATGGGTGGGCACCTCTCTAAGCATCCAATGAAGAACAGGTATTTCACTGTTATTAAGAAGGTGTGAAGAAATCAGCTCTTGAAACTCAATCTTCTATATGAAGTCAAGGCAAGACGAAGAGAAGCTTCAGAAAGCAGGTCTCCAGTTCACAATCAGACTTTAGAATTTGTCCTCAAGATTTCTTCCTATTCTTTCCAGAACATGAACTTGTGAAAGCCCTGACAGGTAAGAAATAACACACACACACACACACACACACACACACAAGCTTATTAATATGCAAGTTTTTGATCTGATGCAGGTGAGAGTTCCTCACCCTCACACTTTTGTTTACTGAGGGAGGATTTGTACCTGGTGAGTTTCGTTTCCTAAATGGTGAAGGTGACTCACTGTTTTACACAGCAAAGGACTCCAATGTACTTACCCTTACCCATCTAGCCCATCAAGCAAAAACTATGTGAGGAATATCCCAAAATGTGTGTGTGTGTGTGTGTGTGTGTGTGTGTGTGTTTATTTTTTCCCCCTGGAATTCTGTTCAAAGGAGAAAATTAGATAGTCTCTCATTCCCCTTCATCTCAGCATAAACCAGATGGCTAGAAACCGGTTGGTTTCGGAAAGGCGAGATGAAAGAGAAAATGGGGGGAAGAGGGCTGAA